GCGAGGCGCGCCTGCTGGGCCCCGGGGGCGCCGCGCGGCTGCGCGTGGGGCGAGCGGTGCGGGACGCCTTCCGCCGGCGGGAGCCCTATAACTACCTGCAGAGGGCCTACTACCAGGTGCGGGCCGCCGTCCCTGCCCCGCCGCCGCGTCGCTGCCCTACTTGGAGCCGACGGGGAGAGGGCGGGGTGGGCCCAGAGCGAAGATGGAGGGCGCTCGGGGCTTTGGGTCAGCGGTTTTGTTCTTTTGGTTTTGACTGGGTCTCGCTCTGTAACTGAGGCTGCCCTTGACCTCATTACGTTGGCTTCTTGACTCGCAGCCATGCTCCTGCCTCAGCCTCCCAGGTGCCGGGATTATAGCCGCGCGCCTCCGCGCCCGGCAGCTGGGTGGGGCTTGCTGAGACCGAGGCGGGATGAGCGCCGCCTCTTCTCGGAGTGAAAGGGAGAGGGCGGCTGGCCAAGCGGGCGCAGGGGAATGGGCGTGTTTGTGTGTTTCACGGGGGCTTCGGGAAGATGAGCGGGGTGCCGGTGAAGCTGAGGGGCCCGAAGCTGGCGGATGCCGCGCGGCCACCGGACAGCACGCGGTGTCTGAAGCCTCACGCCTACGTGGCCGGCGGGGAAGCCCGGTGCTGGGTCACACACCTCAGCGCAGGGTCCTAGAGACCTGCGGCTTTGCTTGTTGCCCGGGTCCACCTCCCTTTTCTACTATTGGTAGCCCTTGATTCCACGCTATCACCCTGAATTCCTCTGATCACATACGATCCACTCCAAAGTTTTCAGAACCCCTTTCCTTAGACACCAGGCTCCTGAAAGGCTCACCGTCTAGCTTTTAGAGGGGTCTACAGTGGGGAGCTGGCGACTGAGCTCTGACTCCCCCACCTTGGGCCCCTCAGTTGAAGAAGCGAGAACTGGCGGCTGCGGCAGCGCACACCTTCTTCGTGGCGAACCCCATGCACCTGCAGATGCGGGAGGACATGGCCAAGTACCGGCGAATGTCGGGGCTTCAGCCCCAGAGCTTCCGGGACCTGGAAACACCCCCATACTGGGTGAGCCCTCCGTACCAACCTAGTGCCCCCTCCCTCCCTAGGCTGTAGACACCGGTCTCTCTGGACTAAGGCTGTGCTGAGCTTGGGCAGCAGGAGTTCTGGGTCCTCAGAAGTCTTGGGCGGGGAATTCTTCCTCAGGGTCACTGCAGTCCAGCACTCTCACCTTCTGATTGTAAGGCCCTTGAAGCGTGGAGCCTGTGCCCTACAGAGACTGCCGCTGCTCTGGCCTGTTTGCCACCTAATCTTGCACCCCTTATCAGATGTCTGAGTGTTCCTCTCCCCAACAGGCTGACTATGACACTGGCCTGGAGCTCTTGGGACGCCAGGAGATGGAACTGGCACTGCCCAGGCTGGAGGAGGCCCTGCGGGGGAGCCTGACCCAGATGGAGAGCTGCCGGGCTGCCTGCGAGGGGCCGGAGGAACAGGAGACTGAGGAAGAGGAGGATGAGGAGGAAGGGCCAGGGAGCCAGGGCGGCCTCTACCCAGCCATTGCAGGTGAAGGGGAGGAGGAGCATGGGAGGGTGTGGGATGGGGTTGCCTCACTCATAGCCCCAAGGCTGGCTCTGTGCTGTGCAGGACACTGGATTCGGGTCCTGCAGTGCCGGCAGCGCTGTGTAACAGACGTAGCCACCCGTCCAGGTCGCAGCTTCCCTGTCCCTGACTTCTTCCCCAGCCAGCTGAAGCATCTGCACAAGGCCTATGCTCAAGGTAAGCTGGGAAAGGGTGGGCCCTGTGGGTACCTAGGATCATCTCTGAGGGCTCCTGGGCCCCACCTCTCTGTCTCTAGGTCTGTAGTTTCCTTGTCAGGGCCAATGGGAGCTCCCTTCAGGAGGAGGACTCAGTCTGCTCTCCTTCTTTGGTCCCATTGTGAAAAGCTCAAGATGGGTCCATCATGGGGCTCCTTCTGCCTTTGCTGCCTGTTACCTTACTTTTATTTCTTCTCTTCCACTTTGGCTTCTGCCAATGAAGGTGTGTTGGAGTAAGTTTGACAAAGAAGCAAGGGGTAGGCACCTCTGATAGGCCCGCCAGGGGTGGCCAGAGTCTGTCGGTTGGCCTGGGTGATGGCATTGTCCAGTTCTGCTGTGCCCAGGTCACTGCTCTTCTCTGCCTGTGTCTCCTCCCCTGCTCCTCCATCTCCAGTGGGGAATCTGTCTCAAGCTGTGGAAAATGTCCTGAGTGTCCTGCTCTTCTACCCGGAGGAGGAGACTGCCAAGCAGGCACTGACCCAGTACCAAGCCCAGCTGGGAGAGCAGGGCCTTGGCCTTGGGCCAAGAGAGGTAGGGACTCTTGCACTGACCACTGGGGGCAGCAGCCCTGGGCTAAGCAAACATAGCTGAGAAATAACCCAGCTGCTTCTCACTCATGTGCTCCAGCCAGCATGGGGAACCCAACATCTGACTTCTACCTCCAGGCCCTGCTCCCCATGGAGTTCACTCCTAGCTCCACTCTTTCCTTCACCTCAGTCTTGCCTGCCCCTACCTTGTATTTATGTACACACACACACACACACACACACACACACACACACTCCTGCTACTCCCTTAGTTTGAACCCAGAGCCAAGGGGTGTAGTGACAGCTTAAGCAGCATGCAGGCCCACCCTAGATCAGGGGTACCCTGCCTCCTCCACTCATTTCTTCTCCTTGTCAACCCTCTCCTCCCATCTGCCCCTCAGGACATACAGAGCTTCATCCTTCGGTCCCTGGGAGAGAAGAGACAGCTCTACTATGCCATGCAGCACCTGGGCACCGGCTTCAGGGACCCTGTGAGTGACTGTTCCATGTCCCATCCCGACATCCCTGCCATCTTGGAGCACAGAACCCTCCATGCCTATGTCACTGCCCATGGCCCCATGGAGCTTGGGAAAGCTTGTTACCCCCAAGGTCCCAGAGACAGGCAGAGGGCCCGTATTTCACCGTGGCTTTGGCATCATGCAGGCCTAAGAGTCTGCCATGAACACACTCCGGGCCTTGGCTCATCTTGCCCCTACCTCAATTTCCTTACTTGTAAATTACAAGTAAGGAAGTCACTCACTGGTCCCATGGGCCAGGAAGGAATGTATATATGTGTTAGACCGTGTGTGGTACTGGAGATTCAACTGAAAGCCTTTAAACTGAGCTATTCTCCTAGCCTCTTTCTTATGTTTTTAAAATTTGTTTTGAGACCCCTTGCTAAGACTGGGCTGGAACTTGTGATCCTTCTTCGGCTCTCAGAGTGCTGGGGCTGCTAGCATATGCCACTGCATCTGGCTGAAGCTGTATCATCGGGTACAGAGTTGAAAGCACTGTGGCTGCTGATTTCTGTGGTCACAAGGGCAAAAGGAAGAGTCTTTCTCTAGTTAGTGCATTAGCATAGAGCAGAGATTCCGAGGGCGGAAGATGCAGCTTGGTGGTGCCAGGCATGTGCAAGGCCTTGGGTTGGATCCCCAGCACCACATGCTTGTGTGTGTACAGACACACACACACACACACACACACACACACACACACATTCAAGTCAGATATTTTGGACCCATAATTCTTTGTTGGTGGAAGGAAAGGGGTTTGCTGTAGAATGTTCAGCAGCTCCGCTGGTCTCTATTCAGTACATGTCAATAGCACTCTGATAGTCCTCAGTTGTGACAATCAGTAATGTTTCTAGATGTTGTCTGATGTCCTCTGGAGGCAAGATAACCCTACCTGCGAGCTGCTGGACAAAACCAAAGGCAGGGGAGCTAGTTTATATCTCACTCTGTCCTTCACTAGCTTATGATCTTGAGAATGTGACTTGACCTCTCTGTCTCAGGACTCTGAAGTACAAGATAAGCCCGTTAACCCTATGTTTCATAAGACCATTGTGAACTCAAAATGG